GGGGGGGGGGGGGGGGTCACATTACATTTCCCTGTTCTTTTGAAAGTAAAACACTCCTGTTACTTCCTGGAATCTGAATCATTCTATACAGCCTGTAGTGTAACAAACCCTTAATATGCACAGGGCAGGCTTTTGATGGGAATCGCTTCCATATTTGAAGCTGTAATCCAAATGATTTTGATGCTTTTTAGATGCTGTGAAAATCAATCCTGACCATCTGCAGTTCGGTAGTTTCAGTAAAAGTATAAATCTTTCAAGAACTTGAACAGTTAAGTAGCTGTTTTGAGGTTCTTGTAAAGCGCCTTTTTTTTCCTCTGGAAAATGAAATCCAAGCCATGTGTTTTGGGAAATGAGACTGCAAGTTAAGAGAGCTTTTATTATCTGGGCTTCTGGTTTCACCTGAGACGACAACACTTGATCTTGTAAGTTTTTGCAGCTGCTGTAGCAGTACTGAAACATTCCCTTTATCTTGGGGAATAAATGCAGTAAAAATAGCTTTAACTCCAGCTTTTAACGAGAGACGTTCCAGAGACTTATGAAGCCTGTGAAGGGATATGCAAGTGCCATAGATTTATACTGTTGAATAGCCCTATAGAACATAATAAAGCCAGCAATGAACTAATGGTCAGATACAGAAGATTCTTCAACCCTGTATATTTTTGTGTTTTGGGAACTTTTATTAAATAAAATCTGTTTAATCTGGGAGAGGGAATTTTGGTACAAAAGCAAGTGAAATCCAAGAAAAACAAATACAGAGATTTCTATATGAAGGAGTGGCTGGATATAAAGTAAAGGGGGGCTGCATGAGAGAATAGTCTGACTAATGAATCTGGGATTATCGCATATGGCAGTTGTAGATGAAATGAAGTGTGTTATTGTGGCACTTTTTTGTTGGGGGTTAGGCGGGAGAGGGATGTGAACTGTGTTCCAGATTGTATTAATAGGAATACTATTTAGCGTGAGGAAGGTAGTTGTCCTGTTCTTATGGGAACTATTTAGGCCCCAGAGAGCTGCTTAGGTCCCGCCTGTTGGAAAAGCCAGACCAATTGGTGTTGTCGCAATAAATATTAGGACTTACTGAAAGCCTTAACCCTCTTATATTTAAAAAAGCATTAGGTAAGTGCACAAAATGCTACAGCTGTGTTTGTGGAGACTGTTGGGAAAGGGTAAGAAAAGCTTATCTTCAAACATTTAGAGAGATCCCCCAAATAGGGAAATAATCCACTAACTTGCAAGTTGATGAGACTGGGCCATAAAGTAAGAAGCTAGGGAAATACAGAGAGGATGGTAAAAAAGAACTTAAACTGAATGATAGGCAATCACAACTAGTCATAGAAGGTTATGCACTTCCCCAAGGTCAGACTACAAACTCATCTATTGCAGATAGCTTTGAAATAATGTAAGCAGCCCTGCCATAATGCAAGAAGAAGGGCTAATTGAACTATGCATCAAATAATTGTGTGCCTTCATACAAAAGCAACAGATGCACAGAGCAGCTCAGACTTTTTCATCCTTCTGGACAAACCACTTAAACCAATTCATATTACAATGGTTAGGCCTTATGTGGTAGGCTTCAGGTAAGCTGGCTGTGTTAGTCCCCTGAAAAGAAAGGCAGTGGTGGAAATTTTGACAAACATTTAGCTCTAATATACTTAGTTATCATTCATGTTCAGAATTGGCTTCATGCACATGAAATGACATCTTCCTTGGCTCAAGCTGATGTGGAGGTAAAACTCCTATGGTGAAATGTTACTCCTTTAAAAGGTAGCCTAGTTCCTTGTCTTGTTATTCCTTTATGTATAACTGGTGCTTTGTAAATGTGTTATTTTAGGCTGACTGTGACATGGGAATACATCTGCATCAAATATCATAAGCAGAGGTGGCAGTGTAAGCTAGCAGTTCATGTTACTGGTAATAAGTTAATAATTGGGTAAAGAGGAAGAGAGTAGTTACTGGGGAGGGGGCGGGGGAGGACAAGTGTCAATCTTAGCCTAACTCAGTTAGGCTTTGGAAAACTGTTGAGGGAAGCCCTGGGATTCCCATCATTAATTAGTCCAGGCTAGACTTGTTGGGTGCAGTATTAAGAACATTTAAGGGAGAAGGGAATGATACAACGCTGATGCAGCATAAGAAACAATTTATCCTCAGCAGCCCAGTTAACATCCCAAGTATGCACTGTTTTGTCTTGGCTGCTTTTTCTCTGGACAGTAGTGTTCAGTCCCTCTGCTCGAACCTGGTCATCCTAAATATTTTTTTTTAACATTCCCAATGAAATAGAAATGGATAGTTTTGTATACAGCAGCAGATAATTCCAGGTTGCTTAATTGAAGCTTCAACTCCTGTTCCAGAACGAAAGTGCTAACCTCTGGTATAAAATGCTGAGTTGCTAATTCGTGGGGCTGCATCTGTACTTCCGATTGAAATGGCTGGCAGAATGATAATGCTGCAGTCACTATTGTGTAGGACAGTTATGTAACTGGAGATTGCAATTCCTCGTAAATATTTAAAATGTTTAAATATGGAGCAAGAGCTTTTTAAAAAATGTGTTAAAGTTTTGCAGTGTAAAAAATTTATTCTAAGTAGTTGTGATTTGTGTAGGTTGTATTTGGAAGCTTTCCAAGGGCAGTGTTCAATAAGTGACCTATTTGTAGCAGTATTTGTTTCCAGCCTGTAGTGGCTTAAGGAGGTTTTGCTGATAGCTCTGTATACTTAAAACTTACCATTCCACATAAAATATTTAACATGTTCTAAATTACACTATTTTCATTCTCTTTGCATCTCTTTTTTTTAATTGCATCAGACTACTTTGCCATATTGCCCTCACCTTTTTTTTTTTCTTTCAAAAGACAATTTTATAGGCGTGGGTTGTCTAACAATGATGCCTCATTACTATGCTCATATACTGTCACTGCACTTCAGATGTCCAAAACACTGTTCAGACAGTGTGACAGATCTGCTCTCTCCCCCAAACAGCTTAAAACCTAAAATGTTCCTTATGAATACTTAAATGTGATATTTTAATTAATTTACACAGAAGAATGCTAGCTACTCAAAATTTATTTTTGTCTCTATAATTACGAGTGCCACTTCTTC